ATAATAATAATAATAATACATAAATAAATAAATGAAATAATTATAATAACAAAAACGACAATGATTCTCGATGAAAAATGCCATTTTTAGTTTGCCTCATTTTATTTTGGTTTAAATAATTATTAAGTCATTGTATTTGCGAGTATCTTCTACTGTACAACTTCAAAAGCTGCAATACAGCAATACGCGATATTGCATCTAAAAAAAACTGTCCTTTTAATCAAAGGCTGGTTTGATTTTTCTTTAAAATACTTTAATCTGATTTTCTTCAAAACGTACATGTAGAATTTGATTTTAAAAACAGAAATCTATTTTATCGATGATAAATTTTTTTTTTTAGTATTAATACTTTAGTTGGTTTTATAAAATACTAACGTACTCGATCGGGACTTGGTGTAACATTTTGTGCAAATGTTTTCTCGAATGTTAAACGAAAATTATCTCCAAAACGTTGTTCATTCCAAAATAATGTATTACTTTTTATTTAATTATCAGATTTTTGTTCTCTTAAAATGTTTGCTAAACTTATAAAAAAATGAAAAAAATACAGTTTGACTATAACGTGAATTTTTATTTTAAAAGTCTATTCTATCCTCCCGAAAATCATTGATTCCAAACTTGTTAATACTATCTCCAATAACAATTTAAACGCGTTGAAAAAGAAAAAAAATCACATAACTAAATATTAGAGGAATCGATTTAATACACGTCAGAACTTGAAAAGTCTATTTGCAGAGCATAATTTGAGATTTAATTTTCTTATGAAAAAAAAAAAAAAAACTTACCTTTCGTGATTTATGTTTTTACAATTGCTCCAAGCCGTCAGAGTGATAGTTAGATTTATGTCCTCTATAACCGAAGGAATCCCAGTTAAGGTAAAAACCGTTGCAACTTCGGATCCCAACAACCGCAAGAGCAAGAGTATCGCGACAGTCCGACTCCGAGTCGCTCGAGAGCACTACTGATCCCCTACTGTCGGCTAACTCCGCGTTTTAAAGACCCGCGCGCGAGTCTTTCTCCCTCCCACCTCCGGCAACCGATACGTAATTCTGAAGCGGCTGAGACTTTTTTTATGATGATGGGCGGCTCTTTTTTCTCCTTTGGTTCGGTAAACTGTTCCTCCCCGATGGCCTTAACTTTCGTTTTTTGTTTTTCCCCCTTCGTTTTTCTAGTTTTTTTCCCCCTTTTGAAATAGTCTCGTTTTCAGTAGGAACTACTTAAATTGTTCGTATACGGCGATTGTAATTTTCGAATCGAAATACACATTTTTTTGCACGAAATTCTACATAATTTTGGATCTTGCTAAATAAACGATGTTATTAAAACAAAAACTTACCGGTGCTCCATCGAAGCGTTCGATGTGGGTGATTTTTTTTGACAGACCAAGTCCTCGCTTCGTTAGGCGAAAAGGCAGGGAGTGCCTGAAATGAGTTGCCGCCATGCGTTCAATGGTACACTGTAAAAGCTAAGAAAAAAAAAAATAAAAAAGAAAAGGAAAATGATAATTTAATAGGCCGCAGTCAATTTGTTTATCGACGGGAAAATCCGGATTTATAAAAGCTTGCGCACACCTTCACCGCCAATCTGAAAGTTACACTTTTTTTTATCACCGTGTGTTTTCATGGTCACAGTTTCGTTGAATTTCATACAATAGTTTGATTTTTTGGTTGACTTCGAAAGCTCTTTATGGAAAATTTTTTTTTTTTTAATTTTTGGTACGAGAATCATGGATGAAGCGATTGATGGGATTTTCCATGATTCGCTGCTCAAGTGATTTGTTTTTACCCATTATTATATCCAAAATTATATATGATTTTTTGAAAAATAAAAATTTACCTTTATATTAGTTGTTGGAAAAATTAGACAAGACCGTTGCAAAATAAATTTTCGAAAAATTAAAAAAATTGACAAAGTTATCGATCTTCAAAGTTCGATAGTAATAAATCTGCAAGAGGCAAGTTCTCGCTCTGGCGTGTATACTTATGTGTACACCACACACGCAACAGCCTCGATTATGTCGGTCATTTACGAAATTTTTTTTTTTTCTTTGTTCCCCCAATTGTGTTTGATTTATAAATTAATAGCAAATGAATTTTTTTGTTTCGCCTTTCCGTTAATATTTCGTGGTGTAAGTTTCTAATAGTATTTTTTAGAATACGGATGCGTTTACCGTTAGCAGCACTAGTGGGGTCACGGTGATCTCAGGCATATTTATACCACTTTAAGAATTGTTTGTATTTCAAAGATCATCAGGTCCATAATTTTTGTAGATCATTGAACAAATTTTCATTTAAATATGTTCAAACGTAGAAATCTTTGAAAAGTGTGCGATTTAACTAAAATTTTCTGCTTTATCTACTTTTGTGTTTTTTGTATGAAATCCATATAAAAATCTACATTTTTTTAATTTAATGTTTATAAAATATTTTCTTGATCACTCGTTACATTGAAGATTTTTCAACAGAGGATTTATTGATGTTAAGGTATACTTAAAAATAATTTAAAAAAATAATAATAATGAAATACGACTTTTCACAAATAACTTTTTGATTAAAAATAAATGTGTTAATACACAATTAATCAGTTTCTAATTTATCGTTAGCTACATTTTCTAATTGCTATCTGCAAACTGTAATAACACTATTATCATCACTACGTTTTTTTTCTTCCAATCAGCAGTAATTTTCAATGACACGCAGAATCTATTGTTGATATGATTAAATATTTTTATTTGGTCATCCATTTTTTTTTTATATATTAGGCATCCTTGAAATATTCTAAGCAAGTGAAAAAAAAAATTTCCAAAAACGATAAAAATTAAGGCCACAGTCGACCCTCAAAGTTTGATTGTTTTAAAACTGTGTGAAGTAAGTTCTCATTGCTCAATATTTATATGTATACTCAGCTATGGTATATACGTAATAGCACCGTTTAAGCCTCTCTCTCTATCTTGACTGACTTTCAAGTTCACTACGTGCGTGCCATGTGTACGTGAAATATAGTTTGATTCGCGTGTTTATATATTGGACGCGCACGTGAGGTATAGGTACAGCTAAATTTTTTTTTTTTTTTTCACATAGTTATGATTTTACATTAAAAAAAAATTTGATCTTAATTTAAAAAAATGGAAATCCCTAAATTAAATGTATTACGATTAAAAACAACTTTCATCACCCACACGTCATAGCACGAAATATATTATGATACTTATAGAAAACACTTGAACATTTATGGAAAGTATTTTTATTGATCGGGAAAAAGCTCCCTTAAAAATATGTAATTTTCTTGATGAATTATGTGATTAGAAAAGTTAATAATTTTCCATCATGTTTTTAATTGAGAAAATTTTGTAAATACGTGATAAAAAAATTTTTTCAAAAATAATTAAAATCAAGCCTGCAATGAACCCCTAAATTACGATTGTTATAAAACTGTGTGAACCAAGTTCTCACTGCTCGTAATTTTAATACATCTTGCTTCATCTGTGTACATGTATATCTCTCTCTTGCCACGTGACTGGCTTTCAAGTTCACCGTGAACACGTGCGAAGCAAATATATAAACACACGTGTGAGAGAGACAATTTAAAAAAAAAAAAAAAAAAAAAAAAATCATCTTTAACATTCTTTGTTTTAGCACTGCATGATATGTGTGCAACAAAATGCAACACCAACGCTACAATATTAACAATTACGGCGCAATATTACAAAACTCACAGCTATTCTAATACATGGAGTTTTCCTTCGAATATGAATAATTTGTCTAATTTGTGTAAAATGAAGAAAAACAATTTTTCTAAGAATAAACAAAACTGCTCAAACTGCGGGTCACCAAACTTTGGGAATTATATAACACGAGCTTGTGACTCTCGTATACCTTTTTTCCCAAGCGGGTGTCCATTCGATTCGGAGATGCTTAGAGTAAAAGAGAGAGAGAGAGGTGCTTGTATTTTTGATAATAGGGACAGATATAGAGCTATTCGAAGTCATCAAGTGTATTTTTGAAGATTACGTTTTTAACGTGTGTACTCTGTGTTAGAGGGTACCATGTGGTATTTCGTTGACGCAAGAAAAATAATTTTTAAATTAAGATCTCACTATAGTTTTTGGATGAAAGAAGCAAATTGGATTAGATCGTGTAGTACATACTAACTGTTTTTTTTTTTTTTTTTTTTTTTTTTTTTTTTTTTTTTTTTTTTTTTTTTTTTTTTTNGGCACCACTTAATTCTAAACTTCAAAATAGTGTCAGGTTTTAGTTCTACTGAAATACGCTAAATGCGTCACTTGTGGGTTAACATGACGAATTTAAAATATCAGAGAGAAATGTGAATGCCTTTCCGTACGTAGGTACATAAACATCTGCATCTATCTATTTGTAACTTGTACTCATGTGACAATGTGGTGTTGCCCCTTACGTGATACTCTTGGTTATACTGTAAAAACTATCAATATTATAAATACTGCGACGGACATTGAAAATAAAAAGACCTACTCTGGACTTGATATATTTACAACAAGAATAGTAAATTTACTACAGTAATTGTAATGCCTGCCATGATGGAGTATTTTACTTTTGCAAGATACTTAATACTCAAACAACAAATAGTGTGAACATGACTGTTATTTCTATTAATGAAGTTTTAGACGAGTATAGAGAAACAATTTATACATGTTTATTTTTATTATACATTAATATTTGTATATTTGTAAATAATTGTTTCGTAAATATAAAATTCTACATAAACTTTACAGTCAATATGGTAATGTTACTACGAGATTTATAAAACTGAACAATACAAGTAGTAAATTTATCATGATGAACTTAGTATATTTACTATGACGGGCGTTGGTAATAAAAAGACCTACGTGCAACGTAGTATAATTGCAATGGTTGGTATTTTGACAAATTCGGACACTGTAATTTTATGAACAATGTGGTACATATACATAAGACTTTTTTTACAGTGTATCTTCCAAAATCAAACGAAAAGCACTATTTTGATTACTATTACTTTAAAACTATGTGGTAAAAAATTCTCAAAAAAATGTATGTGTTTCTTTACTGTCTAAAATAGTTTTCAGTAGTTTTTTAATTATTTATAAATAGGCGGTAAGTTGCAATTTTTTAAATAATGGGACTATGTAGTGTTTGTACCATTGCTCTAATATTAAAAGAGTGATTTTTTGACGAGGATATTATAATAACGACGTGGTTAATCGGTCTCAAATTTTTTACACATATTTCTCGACGCTTAGATTAGTTTTGCCGAAAATTTCGTACCTTTCTAAATACTTTTGATTTAGGAAACAACTAGCTTAAAGTAACTAAAAATCGAATTTTGAGAGAATGAACACAAATTTTATTTTCAGATGTTTGTCAAACGACCACTTTCAAATTTGCACATCCAACTGGATTACAGAAGTAAGTTCCTTCAAGTAAAAAAAAAAAAAAAAAGAATTTTGATGTATTAAATTTGTATGAATTTTTCAGATTTCTAACGCCAATTCGCTTCGATGGGGATGAGATAATGAGTGTCTTGGAGCTAGATCATACTGGTAATGTAGAAAACCCCGTGGAAACAACTTCACGGCAACCTCAAACCTATTTTATAATGCCGTCAATATTTACAGACCGAATAAACCAAAGTACGTCATTGCCAGGGGAAATGGAAAAAATATTGGAACATGTAAAAAAAACATCCGATGTTCCAAAAATATTCATGGAAAAAGTCTCATCATCATCTGATGTTAAAGAACCTGAGGAAAATAGCAACATGTTAACTTTACCAAACAACTTACTTATGAAGCCGATAGATCATTGTGAGGAAGAGTATTTTAGCAAATCCACTCTTACAAAACGAACTCGGGGACGACCCAAAAAAGTAATTAAATTATCAGAGTCATCAAAACCAACTACAACAATACGCACGAGGAGAGCTGGATCTTCTACCAATAATGTAGCCCCTACAGTGAAACCCACTAGGGAAACTAGAGCTGTATCTGCTGCTAAAAAAAATGTTGATTTGAAAACTGACAAAATGGCTAAAGAACAACAAGTATCTACAGTGCGGTCGTCGATTAAAGTACTTGAACCCCCCAGTTTTTATGTTATTATACGGATGATAACACTTATCGCAACGGTTATACCGTGATAGAAGTTTATTTTTAGATTTTTTAAAGAAAATTTTCTTTAAGTTTTTTTTTCACATGAGAACTGACATAAGAACTTATGTAAGTTCTTATGTCAGTTCTTGGTTGAAAAGCAAATGTAAGTTCTTATGTAAGTTCTTATGTAAGTTCTTATGTCAGTTCTGATGAATAATTTTTAGCTGGGTGATAAACTTTCAGTACCTGCATTCTCAGTGGACACTTCAATAGATCCACTCGTGTCATCGATCTTGATTCTTTTAGAGCCAAAGATTGTAGGTACAGCCGATTCTGACAAATGTCTCTTCTTCAAATTAGTCTAAAACAGTTTATTAGTAAATAACACAAATTTAAAGCAAATTGTGACATTTTTGAGGTTAGAAAACAGAATTATTCAACTTAGCTTACATGAAATAGTACTTTTCCACTGGTGTCGGTGATTATTTTTTCCTTTATTAAGTCATGATTTTCAAAGTGGTTTTCACAAACAAAACTATTTTTTGTCAAAACTACATCTACGAGTGACAGGATATGGACCCATTTCTTGAATAATGCCTCATTCTTTGGTACTCGAAAAACAGATAGTTTATCGTTTTTTTTAACACGACACTTTTTTATGCAGCACTTATTGACCATTTTATAAAAGCAGCCAAAAAACGATTTAATGTATCAATTCTGCGTGTGGGACAGTGTACCATGTATATGTCTACAATAATAAATAATACAATCGTTTGTAAGTCTGCCCGTCTGCTAGCTGCTACCTTTTCAACACTGATCCACCTAGCGGCAAACTTAGATACTGCTACATAATTGTGACTTTTTCTACAATACGTGGAGGTGGGCCTTCGGCCCACCTGTCACAATACATTTATACATGAATTTAAGTCTGTCAATTAAAATACTTTATTTACAAGCCTCCATTAAACTTACAAAATAAAATGTGCAATTTATAAAATTCCAATAAGTAATTTCAGGTCAGCCACAAGCAATTCGACTGTTTAACATTCTTTGTTTTAGCACTGCATGATATGTGTGCAACAAAATGCAACACCAACGCTACAATATTAACAATTACGGCGCAATATTACAAAACTCACAGCTATTCTAATACATGGAGTTTTCCTTCGAATATGAATAATTTGTCTAATTTGTGTAAAATGAAGAAAAACAATTTTTCTAAGAATAAACAAAACTGCTCAAACTGCGGGTCACCAAACTTTGGGAATTATATAACACGAGCTTGTGACTCTCGTATACCTTTTTTCCCAAGCGGGTGTCCATTCGATTCGGAGATGCTTAGAGTAAAAGAGAGAGAGAGAGGTGCTTGTATTTTTGATAATAGGGACAGATATAGAGCTATTCGAAGTCATCAAGTGTATTTTTGAAGATTACGTTTTTAACGTGTGTACTCTGTGTTAGAGGGTACCATGTGGTATTTCGTTGACGCAAGAAAAATAATTTTTAAATTAAGATCTCACTATAGTTTTTGGATGAAAGAAGCAAATTGGATTAGATCGTGTAGTACATACTAACTGTTTTTTTTTTTTTTTTTTTTTTTTTTTTTTTTTCATACCAAAAGAGATGTGCGAGCGATAAGGTGCACCGATACCGCCGATCGTGGGATTATCGGTAAGCTCCCCTGCTCGTGTGTGTACAGCGTATACGCAAATACGTCACGTCTATTATCTACTCGCGGGTACAGGCCGATATCTGTGGCGATTGACGTTGTAATCGATCGATTGTTGTGATTGATGATGGTGTTATATTTAATGAGAAATCGGTACACTTTTTCGGAGTGTCGCGTGTGGTGTATGTAAACGATTTTTTTTTCCCCATAGGTAATTGGGACGCGAGGGTGAACAATTTTTCTTTCGTCAACTGAACCAACGTCATGGTGTTTTAAGAAATTATTAGATCCATGTGATGCCATTGCAAAAGAAAAAATATATACACCAAGAATAATTACCGATGAAGCACGATTTGCGAGAGTTGGTTTCTTTTTCGCGGATTTTTGTTTTTATCGGTCAATACCAGTTGATATGAAGAGTTGATCATCGCGATCTTTGGGTGCTGCAAAGTACTTATTTTTCGTGGTCTAGAAAAGAACCGATTCTTGCATCATCTCCGAAGCTCCGGTGTGCATCGTTCCTAAAGCGCCGATTTGTTATCGCGTCTGAGAAATCGCGCGGTCAGTTTTCACGAAATCCATTACATCACCTACGAATATACACACTTTGTATTTATAAATGTACGGGTTCAACGAATACCGAATTATGTCAAATTTCTTGCGTTTCTTCTTCTGATACATGCGCTTATCTGTATGAGGATGTCGAATGAATTTTAAAACTATGCAATATTTAATCCTTTTTATTATCAAGATAAATTTTTTTTTTGTCCCATACCCCCATTCGTCGTTTATTCTTACCCATCTTCCAATCACCCGCTATATTTTTTACACAAATTGACCTCTTGTAAATTGTGACACAGAAAATCAATTGTTTTCCAACACTCGTCCGGATCATGGTGTTATTTATTTTCCTATATCAAGAGTTTTTGTGCAAAATATTTCGCAAATTGGCACGACGCAAAAGTTCTTTATGATTCTTTTTTTTAATAAATCAATGGATTCCCGTATTGACAAGTACTAATAAATAATTATATACTCAAAGCCTCGAATGGTTGATTAATCATTACTTTTTTCTCCATCCATATGTATAACGTAGTTTTACTCCATAAACCGACCTCACCTTGTTCATACTCTAGCAAGCCGATAACATCGAGAAAATCTTCTGTTACCCTTACACAAATCCAAACGCAATCGCAATCGATCCACTGGGCTCCGATTACTCATGTATAACTTACGTGATATTATACAAGCTCTATTATGTCGGTTACAACTTTAAGTTCCTAAGTATATTTTTATTGAGGCTTCGTACATTAATATTTATACAGGTGTAAGTATACATTGATGCACAATACATCACCCCCACGATTATCGTTTTAGTGTTGATTTAATTAATTGGACTTTGTATTTTTTTACATTAGCCAGCACAATCATAGTGATTGAATCAAATTTTTCATTGGCAGTTTGAGTATATATTTGCCAAAACACAAATACAATTAAAATTATATTACACACTTAAATCCATTACATATATGTACATATTATATATACATATCAAATTAATGGAGTATAAAGGCGCCCTTTTTAAATACAATAAATAAAGTTTTACATAAGAAGGAAACCAAATAGTTATGAACAATGCATAAGGTTATATATAAATACGAAATCCAAAAACGTTGTGAGTCTAGTAGACCCATACATTTTAACTTAAGTGATCTGCATTCCTGCAGAAAAGAAATTTCTCTTTTAGAACTAAATGGAATTTAGTGTTAGTATAATATATACCTCAATAGCTCCTAAGTATAAATATAAGCCATTA